AAGAAAGGACTTGTATCGCTGAAGTTCCTTGGAAATAATTTATACCGGAAATTAACAATCAAGCAGATACGCAACAATAAAAAATTGTACGTCCATAACCCTAAAAAACCAACAACAACAAAAATACACACTAATTTTCCAACTGACGTACAGAGATAACTGAGTAAAACTCGTATGATCATGTCACCATATTACTGATATAATGAAGATAAAGACTCTTCTGAATGAGTGGAAGGCGTATTTACTCGATATTAATATCCATTATATCATGATAGTCTCAATGTCAATCCGTAAAACCTTAACGCTGAAAGTAGTCAATAAAAATAAATTTCTTAAATATTTTGCTTTACGCATAATAAAAACATTGTCAATAATATTTGTTTCAACTGATTCATTTTTCAGAGCTCAAAAATATACGGTTCTCAACAAAATGCACCATCGCATTGTTGTTGTTTATTGACAAAAAGCTTGTACAACTTTCAGTTTAACAGTTCTAATCTTATACTAAAGCAGTCACAAACTTTAAACTATTCCACAAATCCTATTCATCTGGTTTTTTTTCTGTGAAATGATGACACTTTAATAATATCACCACACGTTGTCATACATATTTCACGTATAAAAATATGGCTAAATTACTCGATAAACACTTGTATTTTAGTACTAAAACAATTTAGCTTTAATATTCCGTACATTGCCAGAGTTAGGACAGTTCGTATTTATACAAGGTACGATCCCAGCTGATTCTTATTCAACGCGACTAAAATACATTTCATAGTTTCGTTTTGAATTTACTTACTGATTATAAGTATTATTCAAAACTTGTATACTTGAAAATGATCGCACCAATGATCAAAACGTCGTACTCGTTCTAAATATATTCTTCCTTACTCTAAAAACTGTAACTTTTAATAAAAAACACACAATAAAATACATTTTATTTGCACAAATTTAAGCTTTGATATTTAGATTTATAGAGGTCGCTAGTTCTGCATTCTTTACAGGTATAAGAAGTATGTTGTAGGTTATTGAATACGTATACCATTGAAGACAATCGAGTGTTAATTACAGTACATCCGCATAGGAAGAAGTTCGATATCGAAGGTCGCGTGACAGTATATATAACAAGCAAACGCTTTTAGCAATATTTAGAAACGCTTCAAACAATATGACAGATATTTAGAAAACTATATATATATATATATATACATATATATGTGTGCGTGTCCGCACACACACACATATATAAATATACATATGTATTATAGACTTTTGAAATAAAAATCGAAAATACCTATTTGGTAAAAGGACTTGAATTATTAGTTGACACAAGTTATAAGTAAAAAAATATATATACCAAATAAATAAATTATAATAATTAATTAAATACATAAATTAAGATTTTTTAAAAGTTAAAACCAAAGGATAGAAACATTACTAAAAGCTAAAACGCTCATTTATCCCATTTATCCAAGCTACTGGTTTATGTGCGTTACAATTTATTATGTTCCTTATATGTTCTCAAATACGTTCTGCTAATAATCTATTAGTTTCTCCTATGTATAAATTTCCACAACACGTGCATACCATAGAACATATGATGTATATGTGTGCAGTTGGTTATATTGATCCTTAATGTAAAAACTCGATTTAGGACTCTGTACGGATGTTCCTGGGTCATTGTAAGCATACGTGTTCCAGCGTCTTCTCTTACATAGATAGTTTGTTTTGTTTTTGAATTTCGCGCAAAGCTACACGAGGGCTATCTGCGCTAGCCGTCCCTAATTTAGCAGTGTAAGACTAGAGGGAAGGCAGGTAGTCATCACTACCCACCACCAACTGTTGACCGTCACATTATAACGCCCCCACGGCTGAAAGGGCGAGCATGTTTGGTAGGACGGGGATTCGAACCCCCAAACCTCAGATTGCGAGTCGAGAGCCCTAACCACCTGGT